GCCTGCTACGCAGCCCTCTTCTGCCTCTCTGCCTCCATCATCTACCCCACCACCTACGTCCAGTTCCTGTCCCACGGCCGTACCCGGGACCACGCCATCGCCGCCACCTTCTTCTCCTGCATCGCTTGTGTGGCTTATGCCACCGAAGTGGCCTGGACCCGGGCCCGGCCCGGCGAGATCACTGGCTACATGGCCACCGTGCCCGGGCTGCTGAAGGTGCTGGAGACCTTCGTGGCCTGCATCATCTTCGCGTTCATCAGTGACACCAACCTGTACCAGCACCAGCCAGCCCTGGAGTGGTGCGTGGCGGTGTACGCCATCTGCTTCATCCTAGCGGCCATCGCCATCCTGCTGAACCTGGGGGAGTGCACCAATGTACTGCCCATCCCCTTCCCCAGCTTCCTGTCGGGACTGGCCTTGCTGTCTGTCCTCCTCTATGCCACTGCCCTTGTTCTCTGGCCCCTCTACCAGTTCGATGAGAAGTATGGCGGCCAGCCTCGGCGCTCAAGAGATGTAAGCTGCAGCCGCAGCCATGCCTACTATGTGTGTGCCTGGGACCGCCGACTGGCTGTGGCCATCTTGACAGCCATCAACCTACTGGCGTATGTGGCTGACCTGGTGCACTCTGCCCGCCTGGTTTTTGTTAAGGTCTAAGACTCTCCCAAGAGGCTCCCATTCCCTCTCCAACCTCTTCGTTCTTCTTGCCGGAGTTTTCTTTATGGAGTACTTCTTGCCTCTGCCTTTCCTATGTTTTCCTCTTCCTGTCTCCCCTCCCACCTTTTTCTTTCCTTCCCAGTTCCTTGCACTCTAGTTCTTGGATGCATCTTCTTCCTTCCCTTTCCTCTTGCTGTTTCCTTCCTGTGGTGTTCTGTTGCCCACATCCTGTTTTCACCCCTGAGCTGTTTTCTCTTTTTCTTTTCTTTTTTTTAAGACGGAGTCTCACTCTGTGGCCCAGGCTGGAGTGCAGTGGTTGAATCTTGGCTCACTGCAACCCCCGCCTCCCGGGTTCAAGCAATTCTCCTGCCTCAGCCTCCCAAGTAGCTGGGAGGACAGGTGTGAGCTGCCGCACCCAGCCTGTTTCTCTTTTTCCACTCTGTTTTTTTTTTTTAATCTCTTTTCTGGGTTTCCTGTTGGCTTTCTTAACTGCTTGTTTCCCAACCACCTTCTCCTATGTCCTTGGGAGCCCTGAGACTTCTTTCTCTTCCTGTCTCCACCCACCTCCAAAGGTGCTGAGCTCACACATCCACACCCCTTGCAGCCGTCCATGCCACAGCTCCCCAAGGGGCCCCATTGCCAAAGCATGCCTGCCCGCCCTCGCTGTGCCTTAGTCAGTGTGTACGTGTGTGTGTGTGTGTGTGTGTGTGTGTTTGGGGGCTGAGGGGTGGGTAGCTGGTGATTGGGTCCCCTTTCTCCCAGTGGAGGAAGATGTGCAGTGGACTTCCCCTTTAAGTTAAAAATATATATATACACATATATATGTGTGTATATATATTTTATATATATATATATTTAGAGGTCAGTAATTTCCAATGGGCAGGAGGCTTTAAGCACAGACCCTGGGTCCCTAGGCCCTGCCTGACACTCAGTCTTGCCAGAGATCGGCTCCAGAATTTTTGCCAGGCTTACAGAACACCCACTGCCTAGAGGCCGCCTTAAAGGAAGCAGGGGCTGGATGCCTTTCATCCCAACTATTCTCTGTGGTATCAAAAAAAAAATTCAGGGCCGGGCGTGGTAGCTCACGTCTGTAATCCCAGCACTTTGGGAGGCCAAGGCAGGCAATCACCTGAGGTCAGGAGTTGGAGACCAGCCTGGCCAATATGGTGAAACCACGTCTCTGCTAAAAATACAAAAATTAGCCAGGCGTGGTGGCACGCACCTGTAATCCCAGCTACTTGGGGGACCGAGACAGGAGAATCCCTTCAATCCGGGAGGTGGAGGTTGCCGTAAGTCTAAGATGGCGCCACTGCGCTCCAGCCTGGGCGGCAGAGCCAGACTCCATCTCAAAAAAAAAAATAAAAAAAAAGGAGTCGGACAAAGAACCACAGGATGTTGAAGACAACTGTCTGAAGTATTTGTGAGGGACAGGGATGTGGCCCTCTGTGTTAAAAATAACGTGTCCTGCTTTGGCAAAGAGAAGAACACGGCCACTGCCCGCTTTCAAGGCAAGATCAGCCTTTTTTGTTTTGTTTTGTTTTTCTTTCTTTTTCCTGGTCATGAGGACGAAAATTACTGAGTGGCCCTTAAAGAGGGAAGTTTCTTTTCAGCTGTTCTCTTTTGCCTGTAGGTGGGAGGGTGTGGATTGCTGCCGTCCTAGCTAGAGGAATGGCTTTGCTTGAATGTGTAGCGCACACGCACGGGTGTTTCTGTGTGCTAGTTGCTTCTTGCTGCTGCTTCCTGCTTGTCTGGGACTCACATGCATAACGTGAGAGATATATATATAAAAATGTATAAATATATATTTTATTTTTTTTTAATTCCCTGGAGCTTTTGGTTCCTATCAGTTCCTGTTGTTAGTCATAGAAGCCTTGTCCCTTCCCCCATTCCCGTATCCATCATGTTCTTTTTCCTTTAACTATCAATATAAAGATAAAAGAAGGACTTGTACTTTATTAATGGGGAGGGCGGCCAAGCACGGTGGCTCATGCCTGTAATCCCAGCACTTTGGGAGGGCGGATTACTTGAGGTCAGGAGTTTGAGACCAGCCTGGCCAACATGGTGAAATCCCGTCTCTACAAAAAAAAAAAAAAAAATGGGGGGGGCTCTCGGAGAAGGGCAAGGGTCAGATTCTTGGGCCTAGTGGGAGAATGGGGTTGGGGGCCAACCTTGGCCTCATCAGAAGATACTAGCTGAGTCAGGGTCTTCTAAATGACTTCCTCAAACCAGGAGGGCTGGGTGGGATAGAAATGAACTAGACTTCACCCTCCTCAGAGTCCGTCCCCTGAGCACCTCACAAATACAATGTCCCAATTTGAGTGAAGGAGCTTTCCTCCCAAATCACCTCTTCCTCCCAGGCTCCGCATTTCAGTAATAGCCTCTCAGAGCTGAGAACCCAAGCATATGGTAGTACCTTCCCGCCTCTCCTCAGTCAGTCCCTCATCAAACACTGTCTGTTTCTTCCTCCTGAATACCATTTTCACCGCCCTCTTCTCCAGGTTCCTGGCCCAGCTCAAGTTCCACTTTGTTTCACCTGAGCTACTGCCCCAGCCTCGTCCTCCACCATCCCACCCTGGATCCAGAGGGATTCCTCCCTCATGCAGATCTGATCCTGCCCTTCCCTGCTGAAGTCGTTCCGTAGCCCATGCCCTATTGCCTATAGGCACTATCAAAGCCCCTGGGTCTGGCCTTCATGATCTGATCCCACCTACATTCCCACTATCAGCTCCCTTCTTACCCTCCAGTCTAAGCCTCTGAATATACCTGGTCAACAGAAGACCTTCATAAAGATCAAATGAACTACTGCAACCAATCTCTGCCCCACAGAAGGCCATCTTGTCCATTTCTGTAGGGGCCAGCCCTACGGGGCTTAGCGGGTGTTCTCCCCGTGTGCGGAGATGAGAGATTGTCATAAATGAAGGCACTAGACAAAGAGATAAAGAGGAAGCAGCTGGGCGCAGGGGACCACTACCATCAAGACGCGGAGACCGGTAGTGGCCCCGAACGGCTGGGCGCACTGATACTTATTGCATACAAGACAAGGGGGCGGGGTAAGGAGGGTGACCCTTCTAAGTGGTTCACAAGGTGAAGCAAGTCATGTGATTACAGGATAGGGGGCCCTCCCCTTTTAGGTAGCCGAAGCAGAGAGAGAAGGCAGCATACGTCAATGTTTTCTTCTGTGCACTTACAAGTAAGAGCAAAGACTTTAAGACTTTCACTATTTCTTCTACCGCTATCTGCTACGAACTTCAAAGAGGAACCAGGAGTATGGGAGGAACATGAAAGTGGACAAGGAACGTGACCGTTGAAGCACAGCACCACATGGAGGGGTTTAGGCCTCCGGGTGACTGCGGGCAGGCCTGGATCATATCCAGCCTTCCACAAGAAGCTGGTGGAGCAGAGCGTTCCCTGACTTCTCCAAGGAAAGGAGACTCCCTTTTGTGGTCTGCTAAGTAACAGGTGCCTTCCCAGACACTAGCGGTATTGCTTGACCAAGCAGCCCTCAAGCGGCCCTTATGCGGGCGTGACAGAAGGCTCACCTCTTGCCTTCTAGGTCACTTCTCACAATGTCCCTTCAGCACCTGACCCTCTACCCACCGGTTATTCCTATGTTATATTAGCAATGCAACAAAGAGTAATGTTAAAAGCTAATGATTAACAATATTTATAATAATGATTGGTAATTGTCCATGATCATCTCTATATCTAATTTGTATTATGACTATTCTTATTCTAACTATTTTCTTTATTATACTGAAACAGTTTGTGCCTTCAGTCTCTTGCCTGGGCACCTAGGTAATCCTCTGCCCACACATTTTTCCCCCATCCTCAGGAGAATCACAAATACACAAATATATATAAGCCCTACAAAACTCCCGGATCAGGCCGGGTGGGTGGCTCACGTCTGTAATCCCAGCACTTTGGGAGGTCGAGGCGGGTGGATCACGAGGTTAGGAGATCGAGACCATCCTGGCCAACATGGTGAAACCCCATCTTTACTAAAAATACAAAAATTAGCCAGGCGTGGTGGCAGGTGCCTGTAGTTCCAGCTACTCATGAGGCTGAGGCAGGAGAATCGCTTGAACCTGGGAGGCGGAGGTTGTAATGAGCCGAGATCATGCCACACTGCACTCCGGCCTGGGAGACAGAGTGAGACTCCATCTGAAAAAAAAAAAAAAAAAAAAAATTCCATGATCAGCCGCCGCGGAGGCTCACGCTTGTAGTCCCAACCCTAGGAGGATAAGGCGGGAGGATCGCTTAAGCCCAGGAGTTCAAGACCAGCCTGGGCAACACAACAAGACTTCGTCTCTATTAAAAACAAACAAACAAAAAAAAAAGTTTTAAAGAAAATTTGATGATCGCACAACCCCCTATCTGCATCTACAGCCGCAAAAGCAATTGGGGAGAGACACCGAAAGGGAGGGAAGGGTTCCCGTGGAAGGGGAGAAGGAAGGGCCAGCTGGGGCACACACTCTCGTTGGGTGAGGAAAGGCCTCCTTTTCATTTCTGCAGCGTCCACTTTTGAGCTCCAGCCCACTCCATCGCTGTCTTCTTCTTCTTCTTCTTTTTTTTTTTTTTTGAGACGGAGTCTTGCTCTGTCGCCCAGGCTGGATTGGAGTGCAGTGGCGCGATCTCGGCTCACTGCAAGCTCCGCCTCCCGGGTTCACGCCATTCTCCTGCCTCAGCCTCCCGAGTAGCTGGGACTACAGGCGCCCGCCGCCACGCCCAGCTAATTTTTTAGAGACGGGGTTTCACCGTGTTAGCCAGGATGGTCTCGATCTCCTGACCTCATGATCCACCCGCCTCGGCCTCCCAAAGTGCTGGGATTACAGGCGTGAGCCACCGTGCCCGGCCCATCGCTGTCTTCGTAAAGGACGCCTCGCCCACCCTTCTCTCCCATCCCATGCCTGAATCCCTTCGGGAAAGCACCCGAGAGAATAGCTATAGAACTCTGGGGTGATAACGTTGGTTAACTCGGGAAAGAACCCAAGGGCACTGGACTAGAACGTGGTGGGATTCCCAGGTCAGTTTAGGGGCCATCCCCGCCGCCTATCCTTCGCCCTAGGTCACCTGGAGATGGCTGGAAGGTCAGTGGTCTCCACATTTAGGGAGAGTGGTTACGAGAGGACTCGGATTCCCCCACCTTCCCTTCGGCTTTGGGAATCCCAGGAAACCCGCCCCGAACCCCTAAAAAGTCCCAGAGAAGGTGTGCTGGACGTCCACAGTCCCTCCCAGGCGCCGCCGCTGCGTCCCGCCCAGCCTCGCGGGGCACGCCGGGAGACGGAGTTCTCGGCCACGTCCCGAGAGTGGCTGGTCCGCAGACTCGGACTACCAGTCCCAGAAGGCACTGCGCCTGCAGCCCGGGGCGGGCCGTGGTTGCCCCTGGCAACAGAGCCGGTCTCTCAGTAGCGGGGACTGGGAAGCGCTCCCGAGCCGGGGAGGCGCAGAGCCAGACCAGAGAGAGGCGGGGACGCGGGTAGAGCGACCAAGAGGTGGGGAAGCCGGAAGAGACTGACCGCGCCGGCCCTCGGAGAGACCCCCTTCCTGAGAGGGGGCGCACAGAGAGGATGCCGGAGCCAGCGAGATCTAGAGAGAGGAAGACAGGGATTGAATCACAGAGACACTCAGGGGGAGGGAGAGCCCTCAGAGGCAGAGAGATTCACAGGGCGGGAGAGACACGAAGAGTGGGTCAGAGAAGAGGGCAGAGGACAGAGGCATAGAAAAGAAAGGACGGAGAGAGACTGAATCACAGATACACAGGGAGCGAGGGAGAGACCTCAGAGATGGAGAGAGACTCACAGGGCCAGATAGACACATGGAGTGGGTCAGAGAAGGGGACAGAGAGAAACAGAGACACAGACACAGAAGAGGGAAGAGGGAGAGAGACTGAATCACAGAGACACAGAGAGGGAAGTCTCTAGAGCCCCTCAAGAGAGATTCAGAGAGCCAGAGACAGAGATTCAGAGAGCCAGAGACACAGAGAGATCATAGAGACATAGAGACAGATTCAGAGAGCCTGAATTACGGATTCACAGAGCCAAAGAGACAAACAGAGGATTCATAGAGCCACAGACACAGAGAGATTCGGAGAGTCAGAGACATCGAAAAAGATTCATAGAGCCAGAGACACAGAGAGATTCAGAGTCAGAGAGACATAGAGAGACATTCATAGAGCCAGAGACACAGAGAGATTCAGAGTTAGAGAGACATGGAGAGACATTCATAGAGCCAGAGACACAGAGAGATTCAGAGAATCAGAGAGACAAATAGATTCAGAGAGCCAGAGACACAGAGAGAGTGAATCACAGACACAGAGGGACGGGGAGATCCCCAGAAACAGAAAGAGATTCACAGAGCCAGAGAGACAAACAGAGATTGGGTCAGAGAGAAAGGGACAGAGACAGAGATAGACAGAGAAGAGAGAAGGGAGAGAGACTGAGTCATAGACAGGAGAGAGGCCCCCCTAGCGTCAGAGAGAGAGAGATCAACAGAGCCAGAGAGGGTCAGGCACAGAGAAACAGATGGAACCAGAGAGAGGTCGGAAGAGACAAACAAAACCAGAGACGAGTTGCAGAGCCGGAGGAAGGGAGAGAGACAGAGACAAAGGCATCTATAAAGACAGGGGTGGAGGTGAGGAGAGAGAGGGAGAGACAGGGGCAAGCATTTAGAGAGTGACCCCCAGAGAGGAAGGCAGAGATGAACTCCCAAAGAGATCAAGTCGCAGAGGGAGGGAGAAACAGAGTCGCAGCCTTAGAGAGAAGAGAGATTTACAGAGCCAGAGAGACAAATAAAGACAGGGAAAGAACAGACTCAGGGAGACAGGGGTGGAAGAATGTATCAGACATAGAGGGAGAAACAGAGGGAGACTGACTCACAGTCAGACAGACCAAGACCCCGAGAAGGACCACGACACCAAGACCCAGAGATGGCGACAGATACAGATG